ACTGGAGGGTCCACATTTGGTACCCAAGGGGGGGGGTCTCAGGTCCCACCCCCATGGATCCCCTGCAGCAACTGGAAGATGCCGGGTGATCCTGGACTGGCTCTCCCAGGACCTCTGCCTGGCCCCCGCCCCCGAAGCTGGGCTCCACACTGGTGTCAAGAGTCAGACAGGACTTATGCTCTGCAGCCTCCCTGGGCTCGGAACAGCTGGAGCCGCAGCCACAGCTGTGCCCAGGGACACAGACTGAGCCAGATGCAGAGAACAACTGTGCACCATTCTCAAAGCAGAATCATGTCGTACAGAGCCACCTGCCGGCAGGGAGGGAAGGTGTCCTTTGGTGGTCAGCCAGGGCCTCAGGCTACAATGACCAAGACCTGGGCTCTGGTTTCCTTTCTGGTGGAGAGGTCACCATCAGCTGTGGGGACCCTCTGTCCCACACCCCACTTGCTGTCCACTTCTGGTCACCAGGCTCTGTGTGCTGCCATCTTTCCCAGCAGCCTTTGCGTTGGATCTTATCAAAACAGCAGCAGGAATGTTTCCCCAAGGCGGGCCTTGAAGCCCTGTGGCTGAGGCCTGCAGGTGGCCAGATCCGCACGGCCCCGGGCCTGGCTCCCGCAGGTGACAGGAGAATACAGGAAACTGGTGCCGTGGGATTGGTCTGCACCCACTGTTTGCTCCGTGCCCATGCCCTGGCTCCGTGCACGCTGGATCCCGGTTGGGGTTACCGAGCTGGACTCTGCGGCTCTCTGTTTCGCAGCCACACTGCCCTTGCCTTGGGTCATGACTTTTTTGTTCCCTGCAATCTCACAATCCTGGGCCGGGTGACTGCAGGTACTTTTCCACTTGGGTTTGTTGTCTGGAGTCCAGCCAGGTGACTGAGGTAGGAGTGACAGCCACTCCCACCTGACTGGTGTGGATAGCCTGCCTGGTGTGCTGCCGGGAAGACAGTGTTTGGCTGCCTGGAGTGTGGGGACCGGGATACCTCTGCCTTCCCGTCATCCCTTCAGGTGGTTTGTTTGGGTCAAGGTTGTTTGCTGGATTTTTTTATTTGCTGGCTGAGGTGTTGAGCTCCTGTCGGAAATATCGCCTGGGGTTTCATCATGTGAGAACAAGCTGGAGCACTTTGTCTCTTAGTGACTCAGCCCATGGCCATGGGTGCCAGAACTGTGCTCCCCAGCGGAGCCACGAGAGGGGCCAAAGCAGAGTGCAACCATTGTCCCCGGGGGCTGCTGTTCCCAGGGATGGTAGGTGTGTGTGTTGTGGGTGAAAACAGAAGGGAGGGACAGTCGGGGTGGAGTCTGGGGCCTGAGAGCAGCCAGCAAAGGCCCTGGGACATCTCAGCCACTACAGCTGGGGCAGCAGGGGTGTGTGGAGGGGATTGTGCTTGTCCACTTCAGGGAGAGCCTGTGACGGGGATCAGGGTGCCCTGCCAAGTGCTTTACATTCCTTTACCCTCCCCTGTGCCTCAGTGGTGTCCAGACCCGGGACAGCCTCCAGCTCTGTCCCTCAGTCAGGATCTCTGCCCCTGCTCGACTGCATAGGGCTGCACACAGCGCATCTCAGTCTTCCCTGCAGATTCTGTGCTCGACGGTCTATGCTGAGGTTGAAGCGGTCAGGGTACAGTGAAAAGCCTGTCAGGTCTCCGCCCCTGGGTGGGGCAAGATTGTGCCTCTGTCCTGTGGCCAGATTCCCAGTGGGGACACAGCTGCGGGGCCACCTGGGCTGCCCAGGTCCATGAGACACGAGGCTCAGATCCTGGCCTTGCGTGGAGCTGCATGAAGTCTGCTTGGGGAAATACAGGTGTTTGTGATGGATCCGTCTGCCTTTCAACATTTCTACTACTACTAAAAAACAGTAGGTGCCAGGCGTGGTGGCATCTATCTGCCTGCGACCCCAGCACAGTAGCAAACTGAGGTGGGAGGGTCCCAGGTTCGAGCCTCATCTGGGCAACTTAGTGAGACCCCATCTCAAGAAGGAAAGTGCACCTGGAGGTGAAGATCAGTGCGAAGGCCGGGGGTTCAGTCCTTGGTACCAAAAAGAAAGCAGCGACAAGATGACCCATGTTCTCCCAGCCATGGGACCCTCCTGTCCTTTTCCGGTCTTCACTGTCTTCTCCATCTGCTGTTCTTAGCGTGGGACAACCAAGGACTTCGCCACACGACGACTGCCAGCTGCTTTTTGGCTGTATTCCTGTTTAAATTAGCAGAATATATTTACAGCTCCTTCCTGGGTTCCTTTTTAAAAAGTCATTGTGCCAGCTAACTTATTCTTGTGTGTGTGTGGTTTTCGATCTCATCAGCAGTCTTTATCAACTCATTTGGAACTGTAAAAAGAAAAAAAAAAAAACAACAATTTGCAGAGTTCAGTTTTAAACTTATTTCACAACTCCTAAAGTTCTGTGTTGCAAGAATCCCGGCTTGTCACTGAAATCCAGTTGTCTGCCGCTCGTCGCCTCTCGCCCTGCGTGTGCCAGCTAACATAGGGGACGTGGTGTGGTGGCAGTCGTGAAGGTGCAGCCTTGCCAGGCAGCAGGCAGCTTTGTTAGGAGCAGCCTCGAGCCTCCAGCTGATGGCCCAGGGGTCTGCGCTGGCTGCCTCTGTGCAGGGGACCAGCTCAGAAGCCACCAGCCTGTCCGATTTGGTGAGGGTCCCGCTGTGTTTTCCATGCAGGAAGATGCGCCCCTAGGGACCCACGACCTTCCACGAGGCCCAGCTCTGCCGGCCTCTGGCTCCTCTTAGGAGCACTGTCTGGGGAGCAAACCACACGGACCTTTGGTGGCACTTAGGAGGCAAGCCCTGGATTCAGTTCCACCACTGTCACCACTGCCATCATATTTTTCACCCTCATTATCACCACCACCATCACCATCAGAATCTCCACTATCCCATGTCCCTTAGCACCATCGTTAGAGTCACCGCCATCGTCACTCCCATTGTTGGAATCATCTCGTGGTCGTGTCTGGCACCTGTCCATCAGCAGCACCGTCCCCTGACGGACACTGTCAGCACCACCTTCACCACCGGAAATGGTGTACCACGCCCCCTCCTCTCCTCCTCACGCTGTGCAGAACACAAGGATCAAGTCCCAGGCTTCGCGTAGCTGGGTGACGTTTGCAGCTGCCTTGTAACTGAGGGTCATCTTCATGGGAGTCCCTGTGTGTGACTTGCACAGAGCTGCCACGGCAGGTGTCTTGGGCTCTGGGCGTTCTGGAGCTCGCCTGGGCCCTGGTGATTCCCGATCAGAGTCATGTGCCTCTGCATGGGCACAGCCACCTGGAGTTTGGGCGTGTGTCCGTCTGGGGAGACCTATGATGGTCGGAGGTGTGGACAGCAGGAGCTGGATCCCTTTTGTCTCCTGGTAGCTGCCAAACCTTAGGCAACTTGGCTGTCTCCTTGCGCCTGTTCTTTCCGGGTAAATAGAAATGACACGTCAAGTTCCCTGGTTAGGTCACATGAGAAAACGAGGGGAAGTGTGCCTGTGCTGGTCCTGGGACAGCTGCGGCCCTTCCCGAATGACTCCCGTGGCCAGTCAGCTCTGCTCCGGTCCCCGGTCACCCTGCCCCGAAGTCTCGGTTCTCGTGCAGTGCCAGGTGCCCCGTTCCCTCCCCAGCTGTGCATCTGGATGTGGACTGGGCCTCCCCTGCCCCTTGCCCCCGGTATTGGGGAGAAGGAACCCGGGCCTGGGCGCGTCTTGGGCAGGGTGAGCTGCGCAGCTCTCAGGAGCCTGTTCTGATCGCTCTGTGTGTCCAGGATGCCACCTGTGGAGGAGGTGAGCACGGGAGCCCCTGCAGATGGCTTCCGGGCCTCTCTGTCCTGACAGGAAGTGAGGCTCATGCCTGTCAAGTCCCAGTCCTGGTTGTGTGCATGTCTGCTGTGTGCAGCTACAGCTCGTGGGGTGGCAGGGTGGCACATGCCAACCACACCACCAGCTCTCTTCAGAGGGTCTTGCTGCGATCCCCCACATATGGCCTGGTGACTCGTGGCTGCCAGTGTGCTAATGGAGGCTCGGGACTCTGGATACCACCACCAGGGTCTGATTAGTAACAGCAGCAAGGGAGGTGTGGCACACACCTCTAATCGCAGCACTCAGGAGGCTGAGGCAGGAGGATCACCAAGAGTTCGAGGCCAGCCTAGCTACATAGCTGAGACCCTGTCTCAGAAAACCCAAAGCAAATACATACACAGTAGCAGTGGAGGACTCCACTCCTGCCCACACTGCAGGCCTGATTTTCCTTTCCCTGACATCACAGAAACTCGAGGGCTGGTGGTCCTGGTGGTCCTGGCACTGAAGGGCGCCTCTGTGGCCCCAGAGGGAGGTGCCGTGCTCCAAGCCCAGATCCCTCCTACGGAGTCAGTAGTTGCACACGGAGGTTTGAGTGGAGAACACGGGTTCATGCTGAGTCCCTCCTTGGTACTCCATTCAGGACTTCTCTGGTCCTTGACCTGCAGCCCGGGCTTGTGCTGCTGGTGGCCTCTGGACTCGCTTTCCTTTCCGGCCAGGGCCGTTGTTGGAACCGGTAAACAAGGGGTGGGTGTGCTGCTTGGTCAGTTTGAGAACACCCCGGCCCCAGACAAAGCGGACGCCTGGGGTTTTGTGAGCCGAGTTGGCTCCACCAGACGAGGACCCCTCCAACCAGGAGCCCCTAGACAGGGCTAGTGGAGAGGAGCTGGTTTTGCATAGGATGCTAGAAATGATTCCAGCACCTGCTGAAGTTTGGTTCTTTGAAATCCTTTACACTGGAACTCTGGTCTGCCTGGTCTTTGTCCCTGCTTGTGTTTTTTTGTGACAGGGTCTCACTATGTAGTTCAGGCTGGTCTCGAACTCACAGTGAGGCCCCGACTGGCCTGGAACTCACAGCAGTGCTCCTGCCTCAGCCTCCCCAGTGCTGGGACCGCGGGCGTGTGATGCCTCGCCCAGCTGTCCCCATCTATTGTATGCTGTGCTGGGGGTGCCCACATGAGGCCGGCCCTGCTCACCCTGTCTGTTTCCTCTCCCCACAGTGTTGCATACACAAGGCCCCGTAGACGGCAGCCTCTACGCCCGGGTGCGGAAGAAGAGCTCCCCCGACCCCTGCAGCCCGCAGACCCTGCCGGCCACCGGCAGCCCGGACCACAGCGACCACACCCTGTCGGTCAGCAGCGACTCCGGCCACTCCACCGCCTCTGCCAGGACGGATAGGACGGAGGAGCGGGTGGCCACCGGGCCGCCCAGGGGCTTGAGCCCGCAGGAGAAGGCCGAGCTAGACCAGCTGCTCAGCGGCTTCGGCCTGGAGGACACAGGGGGCAGCTCCAAGGGTGTGATGGATGCACGCAGCAAGTTTGGGGGCACGCGCCACGTGGTGCCCGCGCAGGTCCATGTGAATGGGGATGCCGCCCTGAAGGAGCGGGAGACTGACATCCTGGATGATGAGGCACCACACCCCGGCCCGCGCAGCGTGGACAGCCCAGGCACCCTGCCCTCCTCGGAGGGGCTGCCATCTGCCCACCTGGGCCCCTTTGCCTGCAGCCAGAGCAGCCAGCGCTCCCTGCTGCCTGACGCCTTTGGCTCCCCGGTTGGGGAGGACGGGGCCCCCAGCCTGGGCACAGGCGTGGACGCCATCTACGAGCGGGAGCGGACGTTTGGCAATGGCCGAGAGCCCAGGCAGCTTCAGCCGGTGCCCAGGAAGCCGTCGGCACCTGGGCCCACCTTTGTGCAGAGTGGCTACCCGACCCAGAGCTGGGTGCGGCAGCAGCAGATGGTGGCTGCCCAGCAGTACAGCTTCGCGCCTGACGGGGATGCCAGGCTGGGCGGCCACGGCCCCGATGGTGGA